GAAGCTAACGCCATTAGAAAATATAAATATTTTAATGATTACCCTAGTTCTTCTCGACTGCATGCATTTGATTGATTTAGGAGACATGACAACATTTTTATTGAGACTTACAAATAAAAAAATAATTTCGAATGAAAAAACAAATAATATTTCCAATAACCTCCTCAATCTGAAAAGTAATATCACGAAAGATTTTGCGTGCAAGCCTCGGGCAATGGCGGAGCTTTGTAATTGGAAGGCTACAGTATTGCGACAATTTTTGCTATACACTGGATTGATAGCTTTAAAAGATGAGGTGGAAGAAGAGGTTTACTACGAGTTCGTATTATTGCATTGCGCTTATAAAATGTTGTGCTGTCCAAAACAATACAATTCCAACTTAGAATCAGCACAAATTCTCCTCAATGCATTTGTGGAAAGTTTTCCCATTCTTGTTATGCTTTGGAAAATTGTCTACAAAATATAAAAAAGTGGATAAAAAGGCCTTCAACAAATCTACAGACAAGTTGTAGAGGAAAAGGTTGTAATTCCGGAATACTCCGATGGATTAGAGGCAAACGTTTACATTTCAAAACAGTGTATTGACCAACAAATTTCCAAAAAAACATTTGTTATATGAAAAATACAATACCAGTGCAAATCCAGGGGTTTTCTCGGGATAATGGAGGAATGCTAAAAAATATACAAAGTTTTTGTCGTGAACCATGTGAATCTGTTTCTTTAGGCATTTTTTGGCCGATTCGGAACCATCAGAGTATAATGAAATATTCCCTTTACAAAAATACAGTGTAAAACGATAGCCTTTCCATACAAAACTCAGTTGCTACTGCTACCACTTTTACATGGATGTAACTAATTTATGTACAATAAAATTATTTAATTTCAATTACAAGCAGAAATAATATTAAATAGAAACTATCAAGCATGTCCGAATATTCTCCCACCAACAAACGTATTAAACGTCTTGCACTTTGTATAAATTCTGATCGTAAGTATACTGTTTTAACTGATGTATATTCCATACTGCCACATATAATATATATATTTTCAGATCCTAATTCCACAAACAACTCCAACGATGTACTACTGCAGAGTGTACAAGAATTAAAGCAACAAACAGACAATATGCACCATCAACTTAATGCAATTCAAGGTACTGTATATACAAACATTATGTTATCAAATTATATATGCTATTGTATATCTTACATAGGTCAGCTTAAAATGAAATTGAGCGAACTTAAAGAATAGCATCCATTCACACACATGCCTTTCTGCAACCTATGCTAAATAGCATTTTATTCGGGCAGATTTAGACTCGTTTGCGTATAATAGGATAAATTAATGTAAATTGGTTTAAAGCATTGTTCAAAATTTAATCTCAATCAGACACCCGTTCGAATTATATATAGAAGCTATGTCTGCATGTGCACCAATTTCAACCAAACGCAATAACGTTATTCTAGTCTCAATTTGATACGTTGTGCAAAACTTCATGCCAGTCGGACAAACATTAGGAGTTTGGTGCACAATTAGAATAAAATCGCAAGAAAATATATATGGGATCTATATCTAAATCTGAACAGATTTTCACCGAACTTTCACCACTTAATACTAAAAAATACTCCAATCTAATCGAAATGGTCCATCCGCTAACCCCAATTTTGGATACTCGCATAAAATGGATCTTCGGTTAACTTTCCAAGAGCCCATTCACAAGAAATTCTGTGTTGAGGCTTCAATTCTTGCACCAGCTGTATTTTGAAAGGCTTTCCACCTAAATCCTTCCGTAAAACGTAACGCTACTTGTCGACCAACCTGCGCCAGTTCTCTGAGAGGTTGAGGTTGGTCCTGAGTTCCATATTAAGCACAGTATTTCATCAACGTGCACTACCTCCATAAGGTAGTAAGGAGACTCCATATTTCCTAAGTTGGCCGCCGAATTACAGACGTTTGTTGCTGCTCCTCCATCGACGTGACCTTATTCGATACAGTATGCTAGAGTCGCCGATGTTGTGCCTGAAATAACTCATTACTTCAGTCCCGTGTTTGTACTTTATCCACTGTACGTAGGTAGGTATTTGGTTCACTTAAAGTTTCTTAGTGATCTTGTAGAGTAATCTCTCTCGTGTATTTCCTTTCGACATTTAGATGGATCTTGAGGAATTTCTTTACGCTGTTCACGAATTCAAATTTACAAATGCAAATTTACTTTACAATGGCTTTTTAGATTTGTCCCTTTGGGGATGCATGTAAGAACGGATTCCATGATAATAAATGTAGTGTCCATCACAATTAAATAAAATATGCAATATCAATTCAAAAATAACGATATACAGTGGCTCCATCGAATAATCGGACAAGTGGTTGTCAGATATAATAATGCTATACATTTCAAAAAAATTGTTTAAATGTGTAGTTTTTTTCGCTTTTATTTACACATTACTTACTTATATTTCTGAACAATACAAAAAACAACAACTTCCCTAGTGATAACAGTAAATTTCGCACGAAAAACAAAATTAACTCAATTTATTGTGCTCAACGCAAAATCGGACAATGCAAAGTATCAATGTCAAAAAATGCAAAAAATCGAGAAATTAATATTTAGTTGCATATTCTTTGTTGTCCAGAACGGCCTGTAAACGCTTCGGTATTGATTTGACCAAATTCTGGCATACCTCCGGCTCTATGGAGTTCCACGATTTCAGTAAAGCCTCCTTAAGCTGTACCAAGGAGTTAAATTTTTTCATACACTCTTCTAGCTAATTCTTCGCAAAGATGCTCAATTACGTTAAGGTCTGGGCTCTGTGCAGGTGTTTGTATAAGTTTGGGACAGTTATGGATCAACCAAAGCTTTGCAACACCTGATGTGTGCTTGGGATCGTTGTCTTGATAAAAGGCAAAGTTGTTCGCGATACCCAATTTGTCTGCACTTTGATTTACATTTTGTTTTAAAATGTTGAGGTAGACAAATTTGTCCATTTTACCATCAATAAAATGAAAATTGTATATTCCCGCACTCGACATGCAGACCCAAACCATAACAGAACCTCATCCGTGCTTAACAGTGGCTTTTGTATTCTTATGATTAAATTCAGCATTTGGCTTACGCCACACATACATCTTTCCATCTGATCCGTGCGAATTAAATTTGCTTTCGTCAGTAAACAGATCCTTAATATAATGGAAACTATCAATAGAAATGTATTTTAAGATGATCTATCATCAAATTACCTGCTTCCAAAAATCTTCTAATTTTAGTAAATACTCCTTGGCATATTTTATTCTACTGTTTTTATTTTTAAGGCTTATAAATGCTTTTTTTCTTGCAACTCTTCCATAATAATCATATTTATGTAATGTATTGCGAATAGTATTTAGGCACACATCTTTTCAAGTGCGAGTTTTTAAATTTATTTTAAGTTCTTTTGCGCTTTTAAATGGATATTGTCTTATTTCTTTTAATATCGAACGCTCTTCTCGCTCATTCAATATCTTCCATTGACCTTCTCTGCTTTTATTGGTCAATCTGAACTCATCACGGAACCTCTTTATAATGTCGTGGACAGTAGATTTATTCATTCCAACCAATACGGCAATTTCTCTTACTGTTTTACCTTCATAATTCAATTTATCTATTAATTGTCTGATTTCCACACTGAATTTTTTCCCTTTTGAAGCCATTTAAATTTATTTTTATTTAGTTTTACCACTTTCTTGATCTAAATGCAATTTACAAATGAATACGACAAACAAAATACAGATTTGAAGTTCATATTTGCATAATAACGGGACTTTTAACATTGATACTTTGTTTTGTCCGATTTTGCGTTGAACACAATAAATTGAGTTAATGTTTTTCTGACGAAATTTACTTTTATCACTAGGAAAGTTGTTGCTTTTTGTATTGTTCAGAAATATAAGTAAGTAATGTGTAAATAAAAGCGAAAAAAACTACACATTTAGACATTTTTTTGAAATGTATAGCATTATTATATCTGACAAACACTTGTCCGATTATTCGATGGAGCTACTGTATATCATATATCCGAGTTCCGCAGATACATAGAGCTGATAACTTTGATTTTTTTTCATTTTTTTTACTTTTCTCTTCTCATTGTTCAAGTTTGTGAAAGAAAAACTGTAGTTGAAGTTTTTTTTTTTGGTTGTTGGATTTTATTATATAATGTATTTTTCTTTTCAATCAATGTTTTTATGTCTTTTGTTTTAGAACTTAAGACATGCTTCTTTTTTTAACTATTTGAGACATTTTAAATTATACATATACGATTAAAAAAACGAAATCAATTATTATTTTGTTCAAATACTCGAAAGCAGCACTGCTAGATTTTGCTTTCAATATTTTACTTTTTCTTCTTTCTTCATCGGATTCTCAATATTTGAGCAAAATTATTCTTTATCTAGAGATGAGGCAATACAAAAAAGGAAAAAACAAGCTAAGAAAAATAACTGAAAATAATACATAGTATATAAAAGAATTAAACAAAAAAATATATATATGTGAGGGGACAATAAGGGGATGGATGGGTGTGGGGTGGGGGATATGTTTGAGGGGAGGATGGATTATTGATTTGTTTTTTCATCTTTTGTTTTGTTTTAATAATATGGGAATATTTTCATCTTTGTTGCAAAGAATTACATGAAAATTGTGTTTTGATTTTGTTCTTTTTTATCATCATCTTCTTCTTCTTTCTCTTGTGTGATTATCTCAATTTTGTTTCTATATATTTCATATTTTTTGTTTTGTTTGTTCAAACAGGCAACAATTCACTTTTAAATAACAAAGCAATGTGTGTTGTTTGCTTTTTAGGATTTTTGTTTTTATGAGACAAAATGACAATATTTCTTTTTTTTTTGTTTTTTAAATGAAATGAACAAACGGCAATGCTGTCTGTCTGTGATGACCAATGGTGCTTTTCTTTCCTTCCTTCCTTACTTCCTTATTTATTTTTCTTCCTTACTTCTGTTGTGTGGAATTTTGTTGTCGTAGAGAATGTGGGAGACGGAGAGAATGGATAGCTGAACTTTAATGAAAATTTATTTTACGAACACACATGACTTTTCTAACGATCCTCCTCCTCTACTGGGCCGGATGTGGCGGCATTATCAGTTGAAACGGTTGTCCCTGTTGGGGATGTTGCGCCGTCGTTGCCTGATAGTAGGGACTGTGCATAATCTGTGTGGGATGTATGGTTAGGGGGCACACAACATGATACTGTTGCGTTGGGGGTGCAAAAGTTGGTTGAGGACCCCCGCCAGCGGGGGATGGCTGTGGTTGTGGATGGAACGTTTGATGTGGTTGACCAGGTGAGGGTGTTGTAGATGGTGGCGTTTGTGTTAAGAATTGTAATTGTTGTGATTCATACATGCGGACCTGAAGAAATAGAAAAAAAAACAAATAATCGATTAACGAAACCATAATTAGGTGGTGTTTATTCATTGCGGAACTTACCATTTGTGGACCATATGGCTGTGATTGGAAATGTGGTGCATGCGGTGTTTGTGGATAAGGTATGAATTGCGTTGGCAATGGTCCGGCAGCCAACAAGGGTTGTCCTGTAGCCGCAGATGCATGCATTTGTGATGGTGTCATCGGTCCTAAAAGAGAAAGAAATGTAGGATTAAAATTATTTATTTGTTTATTTTAGGATTTTTCTGTATTGGTTGTTAAACAACAATTTTACTGGCATAATGACTCCAATACAGCTATTTGCTTGCATTGATGATTTTAAACATCAATGTCACTAAATGCAGCTAAACTGGCATATAAAAACCAAGGCACACGTTGCTAAATAGTGCAGGTCGTTTAATTTATCTTCTTTCCTGCTGTATTGAATACAAATTGAACTACCCTAAATTATCGGTTTCAAACGACAAAAAGTACAATACGACTCAAAAAAGAGGAACGAGGTGTTCTTCAGAAATTCTAGCAATCAAGAAAACTGTTGAACTGGTTATAGAACTTGGGACTAACAATATAAGGCAGCCAAATTGGGACTATAATTTCAAAAGCTATGCATGAGTGCATATCAGTCTTCGTGATATACGACATTCTTGTGAAGAAAAAATCTGTACTAAGAGTTATGGCTGAGAACCACTCCTCACCCTCAATGTTTTTGTTGTAACAGCATCTTAATGTGTAACGGAAGAGTTTCCTGACCTTTGGTCCAGGTAGGGTCTGCGCCAGGACCAAACAGCGAGACGCTCTTTAGGATTTGCTTGCTAATGCTTGGCTATATCACCAGTCCAACGTGGATCTAAGAATCGAATTCCTGAGGCTATTCAGGACATATGACAGTCACTTTATATGACACAGAAGTTTATGTAAAGTATATGATCTTGTAAACGTGCTCGTGGGGACCAGTTGCTGAAATTGTTGTTCATTAGTAACTTCAGTATAAAATAAATATAAGACATCTCGTCTGAAAGCCTGTATATTTAAATCTGGACCGATTTAAACAAACCTTATAAGTCAGCTTTTGCATTATTTGTCAATCGTTATGTTTGGAAAATGTAGCTCAATAATCTGATATCTAATTATCTACGTTTTCAACAGCGCGTATGTAGGTTTAATTTCATTTTATACTCTAAAACTGACGTTCTGAGTCGAACCGTAATATCAGATGTATTCAAAAAAAGTTCGATTTCGCCTCCCCAACCAACTACCACTATGTGATTCGAAAAAATATAATAAAATTCTAAACAAATATCTCTACTCACCATAATTGCTTCGTCTCATACGAGGTTGCTGTGGCGCCTGTGGATGAGGCGGAGCATGGAATGCAGCAGCTTGCTGTTGACCAGGCATCATATATAGTTGTGCTTGTTGACCCGCAGCAGTTGGTATGGGAGCACCTTGTGTGTAAATTGTTGTCAGGGCAACTGGTGTTTGTGGTGTATGTGGACGTGATGGATTGGGGGTGCTGGGGCTGCGAGGTGTAAACGGCTTAGCCGATGGATTCAAGACATGTGTCTTCTTGACGGGTGGTGCTGTTGTCGTTGTTGTACCCGTTGACGTGCTTGTATTGTTCGAAGCAGCCGATTGCGGCACTGACGACGACCCTGCAACATTTGCATTGCCCGACGGAGGTGTTGTCTTATCCGACGGTGTTGAACAACTATTTGATGAGGAGGCAGGTGTACCCACAGATGTATCGGATTTTGTTAGCGGAGTCTGCTGTTGTTGCTGCTGCTGCTGCTGTGGTGGCGTGTTATTATCGACAACAGGTGGTGTTGTCTGTTGTTGAATGGATTGACTACCAACAGATTGTGGTGAAATATTTTGTTGTGTCTGCTGCTGCTGTTGTTGTGTGGGTTGTTGAGAATTGGGGGTGGGTGGTGCCACATTCGTTTGTTCCTGCAATATGTGTGGTGGCTGTTGTGGCTGCTGTTGCACATGTTGCATGGACACAGACGAGGGTCCCGAGTTGTGTTGCTGTACATGCTGCATTTGTTTCTGTGTCTGATGCGGCTGTGGCTGTTGTTGCTGTGGCGGAGGCATATTCTGTTGCATATGTTGCATGTGTGGAGGCACGTAGTGCTGCTGCTGAGGCGGTTGTTGTCCGCTATGGTGTTGCTGTTGTTGCTGTTGAGATGTAGGTGGTCCACCGTGATGTTGTTGCTGCGGCACATGCTGTTGCATGGTGACATGCGTTTGTGGGGGTGGTGCTTGATGAGCGGCAACATGTGAAGGCTGTTGGGTCTGTTGCATATGTGGCGGCTGTTGCTGCTGCTGTTGTTGTTGTGGTGGCGACACTGATGGCTGTGGTTGATGACCTTTGTTCGGATTCATATGCTGTGTCTGCGATTGTACAGAAGCAGGCTGTTGCTGCTGCTGTGTTGGTGGACCTGGAGATGGTGACGTATTGGCCAATTGAAAATCTTGTCCGAATTGTCGCAAGTCTTGCAATTGATTATCGCGTGGTCTCATTTGACGCTGTGGTTGTGGTGGTGGCTGCTGTTGAACAGCTGGGCCCGACATTCCAGGTCCATGAGAACCGGGTCCACCGCCTTGCAACGGAGGTGAACTGCCACTGATGCCCTGTGCCTGACCACCATGTGTTGGGCCATGCTGAGAATGTCTCATTTGATTTTGATTATCATTGCTAGAATAGGTCATCGATGAATTCGACAACGATCCGGAATATTGACGCATTGTCCTTTGAGGCAATGGTTTACTGGAACCGCCACCTCCTCCACCCATATTACCACCACTGCCGCCAGAATCTCCGTTCAGTTTAGGACCTCCTCTATATTGTGAAGGACCACCACCATGCATTGCCGGTGGTGTATAAGGTTGATATGATGGCTGTGATTGTTGTTGGTTTTGCATAGGCATTGTGTTGTAAATGATTTGCTTTTGGCCACCGCCGCTCTGGTTGCCACTTTGTGACATACCGCCGGAGCCAAGATTACCACCGCTGCCGCTTTGCGACATTCCAGTGGGCCCACCGCCACTATTTGGTGGCGGGGTGTTGCGTACCATCTTCTGATTGAGCGGAGTAATCGATTTGCGTTTCATCATCGAACCACCACTTTGGTACTTGTTGCCACCATCTTGTTGCGACATCTGAGACGAGGATGGAGCTGAACCCTTCATACCACCTGACATGCCACCGACAGATGATTGCGTAGAGTTCGGCCCTTGACCCATCCCCGAAACGGATGACGAAAGGCTATTGCCCATCATGCGATCGTTGCGGTCATTGCGATCCATTCGATCGTTACGGTCGTTACGATCATCACGGTCATGACCGCCATGTCCGCCGCCTCGAGGTGTTTGACCACCCATCGATTGGGATGACATGGAAACAGGTGGTGGTGGTCCGTTAATAGAACGCGTTGGTTTTGTAATATAACGTTCAGTCATAACCGGAGGTTCGTAGCGCTTGCGTTCACGTTGCTCACGTTCACGATCCTCACGATCCCTTTCGCGTTCTCTCTCCCTTTCCATTTCACGATCACGTTCCCGTTCTCTCTCCCGCTCCCTTTCACGGTCACGGTCGCGTTCCCTTTCCCGTTCCCTCTCACGATCACGTTCGCGCTCACGTTCACGATCACGCTCCAATTCAGGTCTTGAGACAGCGGCAAACAATGCTTCTTCATCACCGTTCTCCAAATCTAAGCGATCGCGACACGCAGGATTGTTTTCGATTTCGGCTGCCAATCTTTCTGCTTTGGCCTCACGTTCTTTGAACTCATCGGAATCAATTTTATCCAGGGGCAATGTGTATGAGGACAAGGAATCGTCGAAATTGGATGTGACACCAAAGGTATTTTCATTTTTGCGAAACATGTCGTTGGCATCCCAACCATTGGCGGCATCATCCAGTTCAATGTCGATGTCCCCGTTTGTGCCCGATGGATCCCATGGTTCAAGTTCTTTTTCATCAAAACGTGAGCCTAAACAAAAACAAAAGGAATAAATGAAATACACCCATTAGAATTAAAAACGTCACCTTGTACTGAGAGGTGGGGGGTAATATTTTACTACTTACCATTGCATTTTTCCGATATGGCAGCATCCGTTTGGAATGTACCTCCGGTGGCATACTGTGAATCGAAATCTTTTGCTGAAATACTAACTACCGTATCGTAGGGAAATATCATAACTTCTGGTACAGGCTTAGATTCTTCGGGTGCATTTTTACCTAGTTTAATGCAGTATGGATATTCGAGAGCTACATCGAAACTGGGCGAGAATGTTCGGAAAACACCTTCGTAAATATTTCCCGAACGTAGACGCATCTGTACAACATTACCGACCAAAGCTGTGGCCGCATGCATAAAGAAGGCATTATTATATATACCCTGAGCTTGTGGTCGTATCTTGATCGTTTGTCTATTATCATTTGAATATCTGTAATGAAAAATAATAAAAAATAAATTAAATTAATATGCATATCATTATTGCAACTCAATTTCAGAGAACTCTATTAAAAGATTGACCTGACCAGGACTCTTTATTCGACGCGTTCTGAGTTTGCGGATATCGGCCCTATATTTTTGAGCTGATAGTTGCGGAAAAAAGGGGGTCTTAATGGAGATTATCGGAGGAAAGAACCTTGTATCAATAGTCCGTGGAGTGATGAGAGGGATATAGGAGTATTTCGGTAGAGGACATTTTCCGGAATTTGCGGACCTCAGGATTTTAGTCTTCAAAATAACATAAAAAACCAAAACTGTATAGTCGAATGGGGCCGATCATGTGATAACTGTCGTAGAGGCATTATGATTATATTAATCTCTTGGAAGCATAGCTATAGGCTATAGAACACGTCCACAGGTTGCGTGTAGTGGGAAGCCCAATATATTTATTGGGTAATATTGAGTCAAATAAGCAATCACCGAGTATGTGGGGAATTTACTGAGAGAATGTCCCGCAACTGAGACTGATGCGGCTAATTTTGGCGCCCCTATACACTGGTGATCAAAACTAAAGCAACTAAACTTGCAAGGTCAATAAATGCCGCATAACTTTTTTTTCAAAACTTAAGATATCGTGTTGGTTTTTTCAGTTTTAATTTGGGTACTTTATTCACTTAAATAGAAAAGCAAAATTAATGCAAAATTCATTATGAAATTATAATAATTCATGGATAAAGGATTTGTCTCAATTTTTGGTTGGGTAAAACAGATGAGCTCTAAAATTTTAGTTATTTTTACCGTAATAATTACTATGTTTTGGTTTCTAAACCTTTTTCGATTTTTATAGATCATTGCCAAATTGATTTTAATACAATAAAATGTGTCGGGTTGCCAATTTTGACTTGCAGCCAAAAAATATAAAAATGACTAAAAACAGTATTCCGATTAAGCAGCTAATTACCAGTGATTGTGAAAATAATTTATTACATTAAATGATTTCGGAGAAAAATTACAGTGATTTCTCGAATTATAAGTAAATTTTATGCAACTCTATCAGTGTTTTATTACGCCATTTTTTATTTATTTATTTTTATTATTTCGATTTATTATTATACCCTACACAACTATGTTGTCAGGGTATTATAGCTTTGTGCAGTCCCAAAAGTTTGTAACGCCGCGAAATATTGTTCCTAGACCCACCTTTAAGATCGGTATTCATATCTCGACTAGCTGAGTCGATCTAGACATGTGTGTCCGTCCGTCTGTCCATTATAATTTGTAAACACGATACAGGCCACAGTTATGGACCAATCTTCACGAAATTTTGCATGTAGGATGGGTTCTGGCCAATGTAGACCCCTATTGTTTTTGGGAAAGATCGGTTAATATATAGGTGATGAAATGGTCCAAATACTAAATTTTTGTCGGTTTTTTTGGTCGCTCCAGAGGCCGCAGTTATGGTCCGAACATCGTGAAATTTTACATGGAGAAGGGGATCGGGCCTAAAAATAGGCATGCCTGTTTTGATAAAGATCGGTCAATATTTAGCGGGTCAAATGGTCCCTGACTTTTGTGTGAAAAATTACAAAATTTTTATTCTGGGACGTATATACTTGCTCCTGAAGGACATACGAAATGTTGATAGTATGTCCAAGATGAGTTGTTGACCTTCAAATTGATACCAATTATATGGCTGTATGTACTCCGATGCGGGAGTTATACGTAATTAAGTAAAGGTGACTATGTGCATATTATTACTATTACTCCATTAGAGGACGGAAATGTCACGCTGATCGCTTTGAAATTGTACATGAAGTTCCGATTATAGTCAAGGACGACGCTTATAGTTTTCGGTGAAGTTGAGATTTCATTCAGAGGGTGCAATGAACCGAAAACTTTAATTTTGTCAGATTTTCTAGTCGCTTTAGAGGCAATTATTATATACAGAACATCATATATTTTACAAGGCGAAGGGGATCTGACCAAATACTTAGAGCGGCTGTTTAGATGATGATCGGTCAATTTTCCGAGGGTCAAATCAACCAAAACCTAAAGTGACCAATTTTTTATTGTATGGCGTAAAAATTCTCTTCAAGAAAAAAACATTTTGGAAAATATGCAAGACTTAGAAATAGGAGTTGTTGATCTATAATCTATAAAAAAGGTTGCAAATATCACGAAATATTGCCAAGGCTCAGAATATAGAACCGCCGAAAGTGTGCTTTTCGTGGTAGTTGTGTAGGGTATCATATGGTCGGCCCCGTCCGACTATACTGCTCCGCTCACTGGTTTTTATTTATTTTTAATTATTTCGAAAAGTGTATGAAAAATGTTTATACCCTACACAACTATGTTGTCAGGGTATTATAGCTTTGTGCAGCCCCAAATGTTTGTAACGCCGCGAAATATTGGTCCTAGACCCACCTTTAAGTATACCGATCGTCATATCTCGACTAGCTGAGTCGATCTAGACATGTGTGTCCGTCCGTCCGTCCGTCCGTCTGTCCATTATAATTTGTAAACACGATACAGGCCACAGTTATGGACCAATCTTCACGAAATTTTGCATGTAGGATGGGTTCTGGCCAATGAAGACCCCTATTGTTTTTGGAAAAGATCGGTTAATATTTAGGGGGTGAAATGGACCAAATACTAAATTTTTGTCGGTTTTTCTGGTCGCTCCAGAGGCCGCAATTATGGCCCAAACACCGCGAATTTTTGCATGGAGAAGGGGATCGGGTCAGAGAATAAGCATGCATGTTTTTATAAAGATCGGTCAATATTTAGCGGGTCAAATGGACCCTGACTTTTGTGTGAAAAATGACAAAATTTGTATTCTATGGCATATATATTTACTCCTGGAGGATGTAGACCCCAGGAGTTGATAACATATCCAAGAGGAGTGGTTGACCTTTAAATTGATACCAAATATAGTGATGTATCTACTCAGATGTGGGAGTTAAAGTCAAATATTTACATGTGCTTACGTATTCAGATATTATTTAGTAATCCATTACCACATTAAAGGGAGAAATATCGCGCTGATGGCTTTGAAATTTTTCATGAAGTTCCAGTTATGGTCAAGAACAACGCCTACAATTTTCGGTGATGATCAGATTAAAATTTTGGGATGAAATGGACCGAAAACATAATTTTTTGTGTGTTTTCGAGTAGAGTATAATCCGAAAATCACAACACACCCACCGTGAAGGTAATCTGGACAAGTAATTAGAAGGACTGTACAAGAGGGGGCTGTACAAGACGGGGCAAATATCAGGAAATATTACTCAGACTCGGAATAAACATCCTCAGAAAGTTAGAGTTCGTGGTAGTTGTGTAGGGTATCGTATGGTCGGCCCCGTCCGACTATACTGCTCCGCTCACTGGTTTTGGTTTGTATTTGATATTCGATACCATAAATGATGTGTTTTCATAGTAAAATCTCAAAAACATCCTATGCGCCTAAACGAATGTCCACTACTGCATTTACGAGATTTATGAAGTAATGGATGGGATTGTTTACACAAATGTGTTGAAAAACGCTATGGTTCCCTTCACTGAAGAAAATGTACCGCTTGTTTTGTGTGTTTCAGCTTGACAATAACCTCTAAAATGACACCAAAACGTGTCAAACATTCGTTGTGGGAGTCAAAAAACGGGGTTTTATAATGATTTCAGTTTTTGACCAAGCAAAAATTGGGTCAATTTAGATGTCGGTAGATAATTTTTTTCTCAAAATAAATTTTGTGTTTATATGTTTTTTTTTTAAGTGAAATGAAAATAAATATTTTATTATTTATTTCTTAAAAAAAAATATTTATTTTTAAACCAGTGATCGGAGCAGTATAGTCCGACGGGCCGACCATACCCAACACCACCACGAAACTCTAACTTTCTGCGGATTTTTATTCCGAGCCTGGGCAATATTTCGTAAATATTACAAATATTCAGTACAGCCCTTCTAATTACTTGTTCAGATTCCCTTCGCCATGGCTTGTGTTCTGATGTTCGGCTTTAAATTATGGCCTATATATCGACTCGAAAAAACACAAAAAATTAAGTTTTCGGTTCAATTCATCCCAACATTATTATCTGATCATCAACGATAATTATAGGCGTTATCCTTGACCATACATGGATCCTCATGGAAAATTTCAAAGCGATCAGCGCTATATTTCTGCCCTCTAATGTTAATGGCTTACTAAAAAATATATGAATACGTAAGCACCTGTAAATATTTTAGTGTAACTCCCACATCCGAGTACATACGACAATATAATTGGTATCAATTTAAAGGTCAATGACCTCTCTTGGATATACTCTCATACGCTATAGAAAACAAATTTTGTAATTTTTCACAAAAAGTCAGGGTTCATTTGAACCGCTGAATATTGGCCGATCTTTATCAAAACAGACATGTTCATTTTTTTAAACCAGAAAATCAGAGAAAAATTAAGTATTTTGTCCATTTCATCCCCTAAATATGAAGCGGTCATTACCAAAAACAATAGGGGTCTTCATTGGCCAGAACCAAGCATACATGTAAAATTTCCTGAAGATTGGTCCATAACTGTGGTCTGTATCGTGTTTACAAATTATAATTAACAGATCGACTCAGCTAGTCGAGATATGACGATCGGTATACTTAATGGTGGGTCTAGGACCAATATTTCGCGGCGTTACAAACTCTTGGGGCTGTACAAAGCTATAATACCCTGACAACATAGATGTGTAGGGTATAAAAAGTTACAGTACATTTATTCAGTTTGCAATTTTAGCTGCTTAAGTTTTGTGTATGACTAATTAACAAAAAAATTTAAAAAAAAAACAAAAATGATTAGCCCTAAAATGCATTCATATAAAAATGTTCGATAACCGTATTGAAATCGAATCGCCAACACCATAAGTTTCTTTGTTTTGATCCAGCAATGAAAAAAATAAACCAAACAAGCAAAACAATAACAACAACAACAAGTTAAAAAATGCAATTAGATACGATGTGTACAAATAAAATTGCCAAAGTAGAAGAAAACGAAACAAAGTGCAAAATAGAAAAATATAAACAAATTTATTTCAGCAACAACAACAAAGGAAAAATAACAGCAAAATAATGAAGTGAACGACGCAATCGTCCGTCATAACGCTGCAGAATGAGACCCAAAAAAAGAAAATAAGCGAAGAAACAACACTTAACTCGAACTACAACAGCAGCAAGCAAAAAGGAAGACGAAGAAACACAGAAACCGAAGAGGGCATCAAATACTAGTAGCATGGGATTGGAATGAGGCCACGAAAGTAAACAAAGGCAAGTGTGAGTATGAATATACAAACGGTGGCGACACAGTGCATCCATCATGCAGTCAGTAGTAGTATCACCATCATCGCCAATAATAAAGACCGACCCACCGCCAACGACCACAGCGACGACTATAACAGTGACAGCGACAACTACGACGCGGAATGGTGATGATAACGCGTCAACGACGACGATGTCTAAGCTAATAACTGCAGAATTATATCCGCCGATAGCAGAACTGTCTGCCTCACTCTGTGACTACCAACCAGCAGCCTACCGAGTCTGCCTGCTGTTTGTGCTACAGCAACGATGAGCTCAAAGGAAACAAATTAAAGTTCTATGCGGCGACCACTAACTAAATAAAAGTCGCATAGACCGACCACCATCATCCACTCAACAACGCACACCATTGCTAAAAAAGATGAACCGAAACACAGCATAGTTGTTTTTATGCTTTATGTATGGCAGGCATGTTCACATTAGTACATACATACCTACAGACTTATATGCAAAAATAAAAAAACAAAAAAGTTCAAAACAACAACAGACATACTATAAAAATAACAATGGAAAAGACAAACGCAGACAGCAAGCGGCAAATAACAATATGTATGTATGTACATAAATATGTAGATTGGCGGCTGAGGAGAGTGAATGAATTAAGGTCAATTGAAAATTAAAAATAAAAAAAATCAATTCACTTGATAAATACTTTTAGGACGAAATAATTTAAGTTTCTTCAGGCGAACGACGAACATATTCTTTTTTGAGAGTTATCTGAAATGCATTTGGGCGTTTGACTACCTATAAACAAAAAAGATTAGATAAACGTTTACGAAATATTTATGTTAAGTTACAGTCTGCTTCGATAAAACTCTACTATAATTAGAAGCATGCAGAATTGTACGTTAAACTGTTATCCAATATTGTTAGCCTAATTTTTTACTAAAAACATATAGAAATTTTTGATGTTGATTCAGTTAAGCATTTTTTTTAAATAAACTAAACATTTTTTTTAAATAATCTAAAAAATTCAGATTATCGCTGGCTTGACTTGTAAAGGAGAATTTTAACAATTTTTCAGGAGAGACAAAAAACAATCTAACTTTTTTTTTAAATAAAATTATTTTAAATCTGTAAATGCAATTTGTTCTTGTATTTTATTTGTGTAATATCATAATGAAAAAAATAAGTATTTGCGGAGATACACGCCTTTTTCGGACTTAGAGCCTTTTCTGTTCCTAAGTTTTTTTCTGTTTTCGTGGACTTATGTCTTTTTCTTACAACTTGACTAGTATTATATTTTTAAATACAGTATAAACTTGATAATCCGGACCTCGACAATCCGGATTATTCGGTAATCCGGACTGCATTTCACAACCCATTGCGTATCCTATAATCCGGATTGATTGACCTATTTGACTCAAAAATCCGGATTGTAAATATACGTTACTTTTTATTCTAATAAAAAAATCGTTGCAAATTTTATTGAAAATGGTACCTATTATATTCAAAGTTCATATTTTTGAAATGAATAATTTTAATTTTTAATAAAAACATAAAAATACTTAAATTATCACCAAATTAATATAAATTTAAACCAATTAATAAAACTCGATAATCCGGAAATCTCGGTAATCCGGATTGGGGTCTGCAATCAATTATCCGGATTAGCGAGTTTTTACTGTACTGCAAAAAATGTACACTTTTGTTAAGAAAATGAAATATCAAACTACAAGCTATTGGAAATTTGGGCTTGGACCTTGGACCCGAAATTCGCAATTTGTCCGCAGTACAGTTATATGGGAGCTATACTAAATCGCGGACAGATATCGATAATTGTAAAAAGATTCGACACCCAATGAATCTTTTTACAAACAATTATCGTGGAAAGAGTATAAATAACACACTTAAAAACATTTTTTTTTAATTTGTGGAAGGGTTTTCTGGAAGGGAGTGAGACAGCCGACGAATTCGACGGGTTCGCAGTCCAGGGATCTGTACAGCATCCTATTGGCTATTTCATTGGCAAAATCCGAATGAGCTAGAGTGAGAAAGCCGGCGATAGATCAGCAGAACCTGGATGCAGGATATAAAAATCTGTCGAGCCCTCACGCCATAGAACTTTTTCCTTCGTTTATGTGAGGATGAGGAAGAAATGGAAACAATTGAACATGTGCTCTGTAGATGTCCATCGCTATGTAGCAGAAGACATCGACGATTTGGAAAGTATGAAATTCGCTTTGTTAAAATCCTAAAATGGCTAAAATAACCAAATTTTTTTACACTCTTTAAAACTTCCCTCTTCCGCTGTCCTCTATTCCTCCCTTTTCAAATACCCAGGATGATTACAATGTATAAATGTCTCCCAGTGTTACGGCTGCTAATCTAACCTACGCTATTTTTTAAGTTTTCGAGATAGAAGTAAACTAGAAGTTAACGGAAGTAAACTCGTAGAATAAACACTGCAGAACTCTGCTACAATAAGTACAAATAAAAATTCCCTTCATTTCTCATCGCATTCTAACTACATCATCCTCCTGGGGCAAGGATAAAGAAATGTTGGTAACGACATATAAGACCATAGGTCGTTCCATCCTTAATTATGTTGCCCCATTCTAGACTTTTTTCCTTTGTGACAAACAATGGAGATCCTTGCAAACAACACAACATAAATCCCTCCGAATTGCAAGCGGCTGTGTCCAGCTATTTTTAATAGTGGCATAGTTCCATATATTTCTGGGAAGTCATATTGAACATTTTTTCAACCTTTGAGAGACCGAAAGGCAAAATCATGCAAATATAAAATGAGATTAGACCCTCCGGCATACCTCAAACGGAGTGCCACCTTTATGTGCGGTCTTATTCCCCCTACGGGTAGCAGAGATGTGAATGTAAATATAAACAGCCGCTGACAAACATCGGTACCTAGGGGAGAGTCTCGGAGGAAATTACCGAGTGTCTATTATCCCAGGACTGACGAGGCTAGAATGCCGCTTCTAAATATTCAATTCTCCGGTCATAGGTGACTCCTTTCCCATGTGACCTCCCTAACACTGGGGTGTTAGACAACCTCTTGCACCTCAGTGTTTATGGTTTGCAGTCGGGGTCCCGACTGTATTCGAACGGAGCTTTGTTGATACATGGGCGCCTCAAAAAGTTCTTCCGAGTTAGTTGCCGAGTCCTTACCATGGTAAGAGGCCATGGCTGACCTCAACGCCTCACCCAACAAAAACTTTTATGGAGCAGACTTTGAAAAGCACAGACAGATGGCTGGGACCTCTGATCACTCAGCACCGTCCAAGGGTTCCCTTAGTGTTGGGAATTGCCTGACACCATGCTCCATTGCTAAGGAAGGTAAGGTTGTGTGTAAGCCTGTCCGAATGAGAGCCTGTCGCTCGCGACAGCTGCGTCAACTCCAGCGTCAACTGCAACTCTAGGTACCGAATTTCGAACACAGCCTATGACTGTGAAGAGAATGAAGTTCTCAGAGGAGCAGCAACTTGTTGCAAAGAGACCCAAGTAGTCGCTAGATGCACAAAGCAGGAAACCTCGAAACAGGCGCATAGCGACCCTATTACTAAATTGAATAATTTAACATTTTAGTGAAACGTTGGAATATATTCTATACCACTACCCGGCTATTGAAAACCTTCGAACCCAATTCTAAAATTACTTTTTTTTTGTCTTAAGTGTAATTCCTATTATTGCACATGTCAACCTAAACTAATAAAGTAGTGATATTTTATTATATGGGATAGTTATTAAATCGATGTATAAATAAATAAATGTTATTTATTAGTTTTTTGTTTCTATTTATTAAAACCTTTTTTAATGTATGCACTACACATAATATTCTGATCATGAGTGTTATGTTTCCAGTGGTCCAGAAAATCCAAAAAATGCAACTCAGTAAACGACAAAAAAAAAATAATGTATCATACTTATCTACTATATCTTAAAAAGATATAATAATCCTAAAATATTATAGTATGTAGTTTTAATGGTTAGCAAGAAAATGTCTAAAATTTGTAATTTTATTGACACTGTTGGAGCTTCCATAACAAATAGTTATTCAAAACGTGAAAAATAAATAACTAAAATGTATTTTTAAAACATCAAAAGAAAATTATTGCATCTGTAATAATTATTACAAATCAATAACTAACAAAAATCCTTTCGTTAACAATGATATCGATTTATTTAGGGGCTGGTTGGCTGCCTGCCTGCCTGCTTCAACACTCATTCTACTAAACAACAAATCAATAACAAATCCCCTCCCAAAGAAAACCAACAACTGAATATTCAAAACACACAAGTGCATAGCCAAAACATGACAAATTATATTCAAGCTGTGCTCCTGCTTCATCACCTACTACCATACCATACCATATGTCCATACATATGTTTAACAAAAACACACATTACATAATTTTCTTTGATTTTTCAATAAAACCAAATAATAACAACAGCAACCACAAACGCTAATGACGCTGTTCTGTTGTTCGAAATGTAACATCGGATTCAAACTAGGAAATGGTCAGTGGTTACAATAATTTTCCGCACACTCGGGTTGCTGTAAAACATAAAATTGCATTTCTGGCTTACCTTGAGATATTTCCACCACCAGTGGTCAAACCGCCTCCTCCTCCACCACCTCCACTGGGCCGATTTTTGCGTTTATTGTTATTCATTATGTTGCTTTTGTTGTTCTTCTTCTTCTGGGTTGCTTATTTGCTGGCTGGCTGTCTTTCCTTGTTTTGTTTTACTCCAACTTTACCAACCTTGTTTTTCCTGAATTCACTTTTTTCTTTTCTCTCTTCTTCTTCTTCTTTATTGGAGTTGAATTTCCTTTAAATGTTAGTTTTCTGTTTTAGCTCTGCATTCGACCGATTTGCAATTTGGAATTTTACATTTGAGTTGAGTTTGTTGTTTTAAGATCTTCTGCTGTTTTTTCTGTGTGTTTTTCCTGTTTTCGGTTGTTTTCTTTAGGTCTTGTGGTTCGCTGCAAATTTTCACGACGTTTTTTGGTCTTCAACACGTTCACTTTTTGCTGTCTACGCCGCTGCCAACGCTCTTGTCTACTGCACTGCTGCTGCTACCACAACACTTTGCACTTTTTCCCTGCTTCTTTCCAAAAAAAAAAGAATTCGTTTCTTGACCAACTTTCGCCACGTAATTGTTGGTGTTTCCTAAGCGTTGTTGTTGCAAATGTTCTTGTAATTCTTGTGTGGCGTTTTATTTAACTTACTTTTCTTGTTTATTTGCTAATTTAAAGTGCGTAACAATTAGTTTTTAACAAATTTTTAATTGCTATTAAACTTTTCTTAACAAATCTTTGATTGCTATTAGAGTTGTGTCGTTCCGAAACGAACAAGTTCAAAGTAATGACTTTGGGAAATGAACAATCGGAACAATTGGCATTTCATTCATTTATTTCGTTCCTTTAGTTCAACTAGTTCACATCGCTCAATCGATATCATTTCGTTTTGAATCATGGCATAATAAATATGTGCCATATATGCCATGAAGAACGAATATTAATTATTTCGCTCGGTTATAGTGTTGACAGTTCATCTGAAAAAATATTGTGAGTACAATTCACTCTAATAACAAATGTCATATTTTGGAACGAGTTTGTAATAAAAGGGAAAGGAGCGTAAAGGAATGATTAACAATGGAACAACTCAACAAGGGATATATAGATCGACTTTTAAGTAATCGATTATTTGTTTCATATTGGAATGTGTTCCCAACACTGGCAATGAAAAAACGCACTTATTACAGTTGATTGTGGCTTGTAATACCAAAATCGTATACAAAATGTCTGACTGAGTTTGTAATGTAAAAAAATATATTCTAAAATCATTTGTTTACAGATGAATTTTACAACATTGGTATATAGAAATTTATGATTTGTGGATGAATCAATATCTAAATCATATTCCCAACTCAACTTCGAAAAAAAAATCCTGACATACCATTTATTTTTCGCGTTTTTAGTAACATTTTAAATGTATGTCAAATGAACAGAACGACTTGTCACATTTGTTGTTATTTATTCTGACATTATAGTCCACAGTTGTATTGTATTTTCTCTTTTTTGACAAGATACACTATCTTGTATAATTGTACCATGATTATGACTATGGTATAATAACAAAGGTAGTCTGATGCACTATATTTCAATTTTTTTCGTACTGTAGCTTTATAGTTAACAATTATGATTTTATTTTGTTTTTGCAAAATAGTCAGGCTGAATCCCAGTTTGTTGTGGGAAAGGTATGGTATTGTTTGTAAATGCCTTGTTAACCTCAAGTGAGACACCAGCGAAATTCTCATGCAGTTTATGTCGTTGGTCAGCTAAGTACTTCGCTTTGTTACAAGAGACATTTGGGTATGAAAGGCTTTTTGTATAGAAGCAATAGCTTCTGGGGAGAATATCCCAACAAAAAACTAAGGAAACTGATGAGGATCAGTGGTGTGATCCGAAACTATAGTCTTCCCAACCTTACCTTACCCCTCGGCAAACAATGCCATACATTCCCCACTTTTTTACAAAAGCAACAAACTGGGATTCAGCCTGACTATTTTGCAAAAACAAAATACAAATGGTATCCCAAATAAAACCGACAACACTACTGGTTCATATTTATATTATTAACATATTTTATATTTTATCGTTGTTAAATGACCTTCAATGTGTTGCTTTAGGGTTTTCTCATTTAAAACCTCTCTAAAGATAAATGGTAGTAAAACAAAAAGAACAAAGGGACTATAAATGGACAGATGGACTATAAGACATTTGGTCTGTTCCTGTACTGCAAGAATCTACTCGATTTTACTATTTTCTTCGATATCATAAAGGAAAAAAGTGTTATCGGAGTAAAAAATAGTAGATTCTTGCAGTACGGGAACAGACCAATTATTGATTTGTTCCGTACTGCAAAAATCTACTAATTTTTACTATTTTTTCCGATATTATAATGGAAAAAATGTTATCGTAGTAAACAATTTTACTTTCTTGCAGGTTCTGAAACCGGCCATATATAAATATCACAGAAATTATCAAGGTGTATTTAAGCCAAAAATCTTCTGCCAAAAATAAAATAAATATACGCAACAAGTTTTTGTGTTTTTTTGACATTTTTTCAACACAAAACTAAAAACGCTAAAAATGAATGAAATGTTATGATTTCTTCCCAAAATCCAGTAGGGAATAACATAAAATGTTTGTTTCATCTATAACAAAGTAATTACTTCCAGACGAACGTGCTAAAAAACTTTATTTTCATATCAATTAAACTTGAATATATTTCAATTTATTTGACATTGTTTTCAAAACAATACACACACATACACAAAATATATATTTAATAAGGTGTATGCATCAGATACAACAACAATTATTTTACAAAAACAACATTATTATAGAAATTAAATTGTCATGCAGACAATAAGTTTTTGACAAAAATAAACAAAAACAATTATTAATTTATTTTTGTCAAGAACTATTCTTTGAGGAATAATCAATGAATTGGTTATTGGCGGTTTTAGGTGAATGAAAAAGACCTGGTCGCGATTAATTTTAAGTTTCCCACATGCAGCCCATGGCTCCTTGTGATGTGGCTTATATTGTGAATTACAATCTATTTTTTCTATGGAGTGGCTTCAAATTTTGCCTTCTTAAAGAAAATTGTATGTCCTTCAATTTCAATCCCCGGCCAAAGACTAAATCATGGAAATTGTGTTAACCGGACATAAAAAAACGGACATAAGAACATGTTTCACCCATATAAGAAAACAGTTTATTATATAAAATGCATTCATATAAGAAAAACCCGCTTAAAAGAACAAATTTCTCGATTTTTTCGGATGTTCTTATATCCGTGGTCTACTGTAAAATCTTTCCATAGGCGTATTTGACCTTCGCCGAGGATTGTGACAAACACCAAGGGGCCGATTCCAATATGGGCTAACATAATCTCCTCAATTTTATGAGTAGCTGGGATTTATGGACAGATTTCCACACATAACATAAAATATGTGGACCAATCGGCGAACGGGGTTATAACTGATTTAAGCCTAGGTTTCCTTTCCGTCCGCCTCTATGAATGTAGTTTTCTTGAATTTTTATTATTAAAAAGCTTAAATTTAAAGACCATTTTTGAAATCGAAATGTAATATTGAAAATGTTTTTGACAATTTGCTTTACAAACAATCAAGAAAAAAGTTTGAAACCATATGATTGTCACTTACACCTTATTAAATACACCTTGGTTGCCATCTTATACTAGCAGGTTAAAATTAATTCGTTTTCCTACATTGAAAAGTAGACGTATTATGTTGAATACTATGATGGTACTAAAAACATTAAATGGTAATATACCTTCGGATTTCCTAATTTCTTCAATTAGAATAAATGTTCCTGTCCGATCTAGTAGAGACTATCAACTGTTATATGTACTTCCACCGCACGAATTACTCTATGTGAGATCCTCTTAGTAAAATGTGTATTGACTTTAACTCTGTATACTCTAATGTAGATTTTAGTTTGAGCGTAGAACAAATAACATCTAATATTATTGCATTTTTAAATGAGTAGTAAAACTTAAGAACAAACTGGCTGTTGAAGTAGATTCTGTAGCTGGTGTTCTATTTCTATTTCAAATCCCATCATATATGAAAATAACGGCGAACAATTTTAATTTACGTCTTGGAAGTGTAATTTTGTAAACAACAAATCCCGCGTTAAATTTGTTGATTGAAAGTCGTTTGTAATAAAGTGTTGTGATATGATCTAAAGTTTTACAGTCAGTTGACAATTAAATGTAATGTGGTTGTTTGAACACACATTTTTTTAATACAGAAGAAAAAAAGAAACATGAGAAGGGCAAGGACCGAATATTGTGGACAAGTAAGTTGAAATGCAGGTTGTGAATTGGTTCTGATCAATTAAAGTCTTGGGTAACAATGAATGCAAAAATATTATATATGGGTTCATGTTTTGGAATTGCCCACATTGAAGGGTACCGCCCCGTTTGCGGTAATTTCGCATATCTAGTTTTCAGAGGATAAAATACCTCCTCATAGAAACGTTTTTAATATGTCTCGAACCACATTATCCGACTTGATTTTTTTTTTTTTAATTTAAAAAAAAATTTTGACTTAAAAAATTAATAAAAATTAAAACTCACCGCATTTTTATTGTGAAAAATAAAGTTCTATATAACTTCTTTATATTTGAGAAAAACAAATTTTTGACTCTTGTGGTAAAAAACTTTTCAAATCACAGTTTTCAATAAGAGCTTAACTAAATTTTCAACAGTGCAATTATGTACTAAAAATAATGTTAGATGTTTTTTTCTAATTATGAAAACATATATCAAGGCGGCATTGTCATTATTTCAAGCATTTTCTAAGATATTGGGGTGGTCCACATTAGACGAATATTGTTGATAATTTTTTCACAAAAGTTAATTCTTATTAGATAATAAATAACTTAGAATATTTTTTGGAAATATTTTGTATTTTTTTTTTAATATTTTATGTGCAGTTAAATCCGATTTGAGATATTCCTAAATAATTCCATATTAGAGGATACAGCCGAGTTACTATTTTAACGGCGTTATTTACATCGCCTTCACGATGAATGGCGGAACGGTATTACCACATTGCAATTAAGCATACGGCATGT